AATATCATCTTGAACAGTAGTACATGAGACTGATAATCCGTTAAGAAATCAGGTTCCTCCTGGCCTCCTCCAAAGTGCTCCTAATGGCATTTGAAAGAATTGACCGGGCCCTGAACGAAAAAAAAACAACCAGAGCCAAAAAAGATATAAGACACTTTGGGTTGAAAGCTTGAAGATAGTTGATTGTTGAGTCTCCTTTCCCAGGGTTCCACAGCATCATATTGTGACAACCCTGGGAAGGAGACTCAACAATCACCTATCTTTTCTTCTCTGATTGGTTGGTTTTGTTCAGGATTCTTGCAATGCTATTAGGCACACTATGAGGAGCCAGAGGAACATGATTTCTTCACAGATTATCTGTCTTCATGTACTACTGTCAGAACACAGTGAAAATGTCAGCAATAATAACAAAACATTGTTTTATAAAAATCACCTACTACAGCTTTAAGAGTAATTTATAGTTCCTACCCTGCTGTTGTTTTATGAGGTACACTTAATGAGTGTTACAAAAAAGGTAACGTGTGCAACAGTGAAGTTTGCTGTGAGTATTCTGTCCTACAGTGTTGGTTTGTATAAGGGAAGAAACAAAAGAAAAAAACTGTCACCTGCTTGTTATAACCCATAGCCTCTGACAAGAAAAGATAGGGTTACTATGGCAGCAGCAGTCATCTGAATAGTTATTGAACAGCCATTTCTGTGATGAGTAACTGTTTCAGATTTGACAATGAATGCTAGACATCATATATAGCATCATAACATTATATATAGCCTTTCCCCCTTAATGCCACACTGGATCCCTGTTACCATATACAGTATATGAGCACCATCAGGTCAGCTAATATGAATGCACTCAGACCCCATAATAGAAAGGATCACTGTTCAACCCACCCAACAGACACACAAAGAGCTTATACAGCCTTGTCTGATAGTTTGATGCCATATAAAAAATTATTTTCGAGAATTTTCTTAGAAATCCAAGCGAACAAAGACAGCAACAAACTTCTATTCCTTTTTCTCTGTGTCCATGTCTGCCTGTATGTGTGTGCACAGCTGCGGACAGTCTCTTATTCTAATCCTCTAGACAATGTCAGCCAAAAGATGTTTATTAATAACCAACTGGGGCCTAGAGAGGGGAATAACTGACATAGTCACCCCGTTGCCCCTGTACCCTGTCCATCCCCAGGAGAAATCCAATTATAGGCATTACAGGCCAGGTGATGGAATAGGGTTACAGGACAGGCATTCCTACCCAGTGTCAGTTTGTATTGTGTTTGTTCTATCTCACAACTTTTCTCCCCATCACCAAGGCAGGTCATATAAAATCAATGTTTGAAATACTGAACATAAATAAGCATTCTGGCAGTTATTTCATAAATCAAAATGTATGCTTTTAGCTGTGAATTCAAGCATATTTTTTCAGACAAAGCTTTTTGTGTCAATAGCAACTTTAGTGACAGTCATTCCATGACTACATCAGACTGTGGCTCTCACCTGGAAAACACTGAAAACACTTATTAGAACCTGCTATGGTTGTATGGCTTAGGTTCAACCCTTTGTAAGAGTAGGGCAGTTCATCCTGTGGGGGAAAAAATTGCAAAAGGTACACTGTTGGGAAGCAGCTGAGTCTGGTTTTGGGACTAATAAATTACATGGTATTGGACTGGCACAGACACGCAAACTCTACAATGCCTGATGCCAAATTTTAGGCATATCAGAGGAATTTACAATAAGGTTATCACTATCAGAACAACTTTAGATGCAATATCCAATATATGATCCGACATTAAACATTCAACATTCCATCCAGGTAGTTGTGATTGCACCAATTAACACAAATTCAACCAGCCCACAGAATCTTGGAGGGACTAATAATATTCTATATATTATCTATTATCTCTGTATCTATCTTAATAGGAAGCCAGATGAACCTGATATTTTACCATTTGTTGTTGTGTTATAAGGAGTTCGGTCTAGACCTGCTCTATTTGAAAAGTGTCCTGCGATAACTTCTGTTATGAACTTGGCGCTAAACAAATAAAATTGAATTAGATTATCTGTCTCATATAATACTGTCAGGATATAGTGAATGCAAATATGACGGAAAGGTATTTTGATCAAAGTCAGCTACTGCAGCTTTAAGAATACATGTGAAACAACAATGTGATACAATACAATTCACCCCATTGCGATTCAGTGGGATTCAGCATGATTTGAACACAATTCCACTCAAACCGATGCCAAAAAATAAGATGCTACAGTTCAATATGATACAGATTATTTAATTTTATTTCTTTGCTCTTCTTCATTAGCAAATGAGTTTATTTAAAAGCTAGTAAATGGACCTTGCTGTGAGTTGGTGTTCTTAGCTATATTAATTGCCCCTTCTCTCTCATATGACATATGTTGTGATAGAAGATGCAATTCATATTGCCAGCCCCTATTAACAGGCATCAGTAGTTATGGTGCCCTAATCCCACATCATATGTCTTTCAGTGTGAGCTTAAATGGTGTCAAATGGATATAGGATTGCAATAGTGCTCTGCTTATTTAATGGCAGCAACAGCTGTTGTTTAACTGCATGGTGGTCATAATAAAAAGTGGCATTGAATATGGAAACCTGTTAAAACATACCTTTTTATCAAGTGTATTTGGACAAAAACTGTAGTGAATATGTGAGATATTGAAAAGAATCAAAAGACCCCCAAACATTTTGAATATAACACATGAACTGAAGTCTGGTGATCACAAACCACAACTGACAGGTATTTTTATTCCTATGACTAATAGCCAACCTTTGGCTGGTCTCTTAAAGCAGCGTGTGTCACACAGAAAAGAGACAGGTTTCCTTTGCTATGTCTTCTAATATCATTTAAGCTCTTGTCAGCCTCTTATTATTTCATATTAGATATTGAACCCATGCAGGGAATTAGATTATTTACAGTGTTGTTCTTCACTTTAGAAGCAACATCACAAGGGAACGGCTACAGCTGGTCAAATAGAGGAATTCTGAACTATTTCTCTCTCTATATATATATATATGCAAACATATGTTGTTAGTGTGCAGGTTCACTTTTCATTGGGTGTGGTCCTGTGGTTGGTTAGTTGAGGGGGCTTAGAAGTGGGACTGTCTCCTCCTCCTCCTGTCATATAAATGGTCTCCCTCCATCTTTGTCAGAGTCTAGTCTCTCCACCAGTTTGCCAGGCTCTCAGGTCCTCTGTCCTGCACCCATTTGTCTACCCCTCTCCGCTCATTGTGCCAAAAGCCCATTAAATCTCAGCCAAAATGGAAGCCATCAAAAAGAAAATGCTTATGCTGAAGTTGGACAAGGAGAATGCACTGGACCAAGCTGAACAAGCTGAAGCAGACAAGAAAGCAGCAGAGGACAGAAGCAAGCAGGTGTGTTATGAACCCAGAGAAGCATGTTTCATCAAATAGATACTTCCAAATATCAATCAGGTGTGAGGCAAAGTGATTCAGTAGATTCACTTCTTCAAGTGAGAAGTGAGATTGGCTTTTTCTTCAACTGTTTCATGAGGATGAGCATTAAAAAAACTTAATAATAATATTTTTTGTTATAGTATTCATTTCTTCTGTGGTCGGTCAGAGTCTCATATTTTAAGGTAGCATCTAGCAATAGGGTGAATGGATGTTACCTGTGTATCATGTCTGGATGGTATCTTCAAGCTATTTCACATCATGGCTTTGGATGATGACAGTCCAACAAAGAGTTCTGCACAGGCCTTCTGGCATTGTATCAGTGTCTTGAGACCCAACCCAACCCAACTAAATCCGACTAGTACTGCCAAATTTTTGCCTTGCTTTGTGGCTTTGCGTGTAGTTGCAACCAGTGCCTGAAATGGGCCAGCAGCACAGAATACTGGCACTTGTTATTTTTGTCCACATGAGTACCCTTACTACTTATTGAGCATGCTCTGGTGAGCATGGGCATACCCACCACTAAGGTCACCAGTATTTTTTTCCAAGGGATAGACAATAAAAGTCATTAAATAATTGCCTAAATATATATATATAAAATATATAATATCAATACAGCGCCCAATCGCACAGCTTCCCCTAGCAAGTTCAGAAAAACTGTGAAAACTGTGCGTACAGCAATGCTGATCAGGCACTTCTATACAACTGTGTCCAAAAATGTCCTTGTTAAAAAGGACAAAAAACGCCAAAAGAATTAGGGTTAGGGTTAGGGTTGTGCTGAAGTAGGGTACTGTTTTGGTTTTTTTTTTGATTGTGCCACATGTAAACATTGGTACAAGGAAATAATAATTACATTTGAAATTAATAAATTCCATTAAAAAAATAGGCAAACCTGACACCAGAGCCCAAAGCTTGCCATAACAAAAAGGCCCAACTGTGACCCGAAACCTGATACTTTGTTGGGTTCAGGTCGGGTAGCAGTCTAATTAGGTTCGTACCCAACAGCCTCTAATGCTAAATTATTTAATACTACAATACTTCTGTGACTGCACACATACGAGTATGAGTGTAAATGCTTTACCTAACTATTTCAAGAGTGGAAGGAGACAACTTGAACTTCCTGAATAGGGGGCACTTAAAGTGCCAGTGTGTAACTTTTAGGACTCTCTATTGTCAGAAATGGAATGTAATATTCATAGGTATGTTTTCATTAGTCTATAATCGTTCTACTTAGCATATGCTGAACAAAATGAGCATCTACTTTACTTTTTCCACAATGATAAAAAAACAATTATATGATTAGTACTAAATATAACTACAGCTCCTAAATCAGTGGTCAAGGGCGCCATTGTGTAGCATGACATTGTAACATGACATGTTATTACAAAATAATAAATAATAATTAACGTAATATGTGCTCACGGAATATATGATTGTATTAATAAATAAAGATAAAGCAAAATAAATAACTGGCTATGGCCAACTCAAGTCTATTAGGAATTCCCTTTGTCATCGTATACAGAATATTTGGGTAACATTTTACAATACAAAATTGTGAGTAGTTACCAATAAAAGTGAGAAACTAATCAGGAACTACTTGATAATTAATAGTTAGTTTTTCATGAATATTGCCAAATTGAGAACTACATAGTAGATAATGCTGAGTTCCAAGAGAACCAAGTAGGAGATACCATATTAATGACTCATTAGGTAAAAATTTATTAAAGAATATCAGAATCCTGCTGCCCACTTTGCTGCCACAGAGTGGCACAAAATTTGTAAGAACTAATTAGTCTGTACTTAATCATTAATTACTATTTAAGAATCAGAAATACTTTATTAATCCCCAAAAGGGAAATTTGATAGTGAAACCTTACTGAGACATGAGACCTGCTGGATACAGTCGCACCTGAATCAGTCAGACCTGTTTGGACCTGATCCAATCTTAGTCCTAGATTAGGTTTTAAATAATACTTGACTGCACATGCTAACTGACACATATTTGTAGGTTCTAGTCACCCTATGATATATATGTTGGCTCCCTACCACTCTCAATTGTAAGTTTTTCTTGCATACAAGTTACCTGGAGACACAATCAGCTTACTTACACCCAAAATCAGTTACTAGATTTCCTTTGGCATACATACCAGAGGAGATATGGAGATAGTGTTGGCATGTCAGGAGAGCTGGTGTGAAGGTCATAGAAGGGATCAAGAGGCACACAACATTTAAACCTTCTCTCCCATCAATTATCATGGGGGAATGTGAGGTCACCACCCTGGTGAACAGGCAGCACGCCTACAGGGAGTGTAGTTTGCTCTGCTTCACGAAAGACATGGCTGAATCAGATTATACGGGACAGCTCTGTCGAAGCAGCCAGCAAGGAAAGTAGAGTGGTAAGAAGAGAGAAGGAAGTCTCTTTGTAACTCCAAGTGGTCTGGACATGTAACTGTGAAGAATATTTGAACTGCCAATATTGAACTTCTTATTGTAGAGTTAAAACCTTACTATCTGCTGTGAGGTCATCTACACAGTCAATACAGAACTTCAATTGTGTCTTTCAAACCTCAAACAATACATAAACAGTGCAAATCAGACACTGAGGGTCTTTGACTGCATAACAGATTATTAATTTCTGTGGGGAAACAATGTGCCATCCAAAGAAAATAAACCACCATAAACAACAAAGACCTTCTTGGTATGAACTAGTTTCAAGCATACCCTGACCTTATGTGACAGCCATTGTGTGTTTTTAGATACTACCAGTCGCCGAAGTCTGAAATTTGCACACATTGTACATGGTGGAGCTTCAATATATATATATATACATATTTAAATTTCAAATTGCAACAATTTGTGTAAAAATGTTTTATTAAGATACTCTACAATTCAAACTAAAGTGAAGGGATAGGTTCACAATTTTGTTGTTTTTTAAACAATATTCAGATGCCAATATGTGCATTGAGTGTACATACAGTTTTTCTTGCCATAGTCATTCTTCCTGTCCATACTAGATCTTGACCATGCACTTCCAATAGTGTTCCTAGTGTAAAAACACAGTTTCTGCAAAAATGTATTCCAAAGTCTTAAGTTAATATGAGGCTTTGACAGTAAATCAGTTGCATTGCTTCCAAATTTGCAGTAATTTCTTTTATATAAAATTCCATCTTTGCACGGAACAAATGGATTTTGACTTAAGATCTTTGTCCTCAATCTCTGCCACTGGAATGCATGTTAGGACGGAATCTCTTCATGGTATGTAGTATGAACCACTAACAGATATAATTAGTGGCTTCCAAGTCTGTTAAGTGAAGCCAACGCGGAAGTGTGTTAAACCTGCATTCTTTCTAATGGCCAGTAGGGGCCAGCTCCATGGGCTGCAAAAAAAAAAGCCTGGTAGTATTGAGGCTTGTGGAGAAATGACACTGCTTTTAGCTCAGTAAAAAGTTTTCCAATGAGTTTATGGTCTCAATCTGTAGTTTATATTCTTATTCCATACAGCATGATGTTTATTTAGTAAATTATGGTTCTTATTTAAAGTCAAATCAGGGTATGCTTTAGGGCGTGACTTCCTTTTGATTGTCACGAAACTCTAATCTAAACCAAGCGCAGTCCGTCAGCCCAACTGGCAGTACACCTCCACTGGTTTGAAAAACTAACATCATAAAGCCAGACTTGAGGCTTCAAAGCGGTACTGCACAAATCAATGGGTTTGATATGTTCACACTTGGTATGAAGGGTTAGATTATTACAGCAAGTAAAAACTGCTTTAATATACATATGGGCATGTGACTATTGTTTTAAAACAGACTTGGAAAAAAGTCACCATATCTTTAACTGGAACACATAAAAGTTATAATGTTCCAGGGTATTACAATCACTGTATTAAGCATTAAAGAAATTCTCTGATTTCGAACATGAAATTGCTAACCTGCTAACTGTGTTTGATGTCCCACATCAGCATGAAGACGAACTTCTGCAAATGCAAAAGAAGCTGAAGGGGACAGAAGATGAGCTTGATAAGTACTCTGAGGCCCTGAAGGATGCGCAGGAGAAGCTTGAGGTGGCCGATAAGAAGGCTGCGGATGTGAGTAATACATTTCCAAAAGTGCAATGCACAATTGTTGTCCCATCGTGTATCATTTTGTCTATGTTTGATGAGTTATTTCAGAAAATGTATGTACCATAAGGCCCAGATAAATGTTTCTTTAGGAGATACAGTAGTTTTTCTTTCTTTTATTGTTTCTAACAGATTAGGTACAAGAACAAATCACTGTAACACATAGTAAACCTGTAAATATCACAGATTCTGTACCTTTTCCAGTCATACTGGCATACAGGGTGAGTCCTGAGCTTAGGCTTTGATAAAAGCTGTGATGCTGCCAGTGTAAATCAAGCCTGGTTGAGTCCCTGCTTCTCCCTTGCATTCCATTCTCATCGTGCCCTGCATGGACTCCCCACAGCTGTCGGGGGGATTCAGAGCCCTATTTTGGCCATGATGTCAGCCGCTCAACCTTGACTGTGAGCTTAACAATGGCCCAAGTCCATTTTAGGTACACCATCCACTCCTTCCAGGTCACAGTATCTGCTGATCTTTAGTCTCTCTCCTTT